AATGCCTTAATGGATGCTATTGAAGTTGGTGTCTCGACTTGCCCATCACCAGGGCCAGGGAAGTCTTGCTCCTGACTGCTATGCCGGCAGCCCCGACACTGGGACTTCACGCACAGGGAGGAGGTGACCCTCCTGTAGCTCATTTTAGCAGACACCTGAGTTTTTAAATGAGAGCATTGGCAAAAGGTCTTCTGTGTGAAGGACATAAATCCTCCCCTTTGGAGGCAGAGGTAGAAGGAGAACGAGAGAGGTAGGTAATAACTTAAGTCTTTATAGTTTTTAAATTTGGAAGGGCTGGGCGCAGTGGCTCATGCCTGTAATCCCAGCACTTTGGCAGGCTAAGGTGGGTGGATCATCTGAGTTCAGGAGTTCGAGACTAGCCTGGCCAACATGGTGAAACCCCGTCTCTACTAAAAATACAAAAATGAGCCAGGCATAGTGTCACACGTCCATAGTCCCAGCTACTTGGGAGGCTGAGGCAGGAGAATCACTTGAACCTGGGAGGCGGAGGTTGCAGTGAGCTGAGATTGCACCGTTGCACTCCAGCCTGGACAACAAGAACAAAATTCCGTCTCAAAAAAAAAAAAAAATTTGGAACGAGGAGTCACTGACCCTTGGAAAACCTAATGATGGCTACAAATTCTATCCTTGGAAACACACACATGCACACACACGTGCACACATGCACACACACGCACATGCACACACACAGGCACACACACACACGAACACACACACAGGCACACACACATAGTAAATCATTCCAGTTATGGCCCTTCAAAGGCCTGTCTCTAGCCTCCTGCGTCACACAGATTAAGAAAAAATATCCCAAACTTGGAAATAAGGCAAAAGCATGTCTGAATGTGATTTCAGTGTCACACTGAATCATTGCCTAACTGTCCCATTCAAGGATTCGCTCATTTTCTAGGGAACAGTATCTTGGACAAGGCCCCAGAGTCTGTGAAGTTACATGTGAGCTGGTAGATTTTTGTCCAATAGAAATTCAAAAGATTTCAGTTGATAGAAACAAGAATTCCCCAAGGTTATGATTTTATTGCCCTGTAGGACATTAACCAGTTTTGTAGCAATCTTATGGCAGTTTTCTTTTCTTTCCCTTTTATTTTTATTTTTGAGTTGGAGTTTCACTCTGTCACCCAGGCTGGAGTGCAGTTGTGTGATCTTGGCTCACTGCAACCTCCACCTCCCGGGTTCAAGCAATTCTCCTGTCTCAGCCTCTTGAGTAGCTGGGACTACCGGCACCCACCACCACGCCCGGCTAATTTTTGGTAATTTTTTGTAGAGACGGGGTTTCACCGTGTTAGCCAGGATGGTCTCAATCTCTTGACCTCGTGATCTGCCTGCCTCGGCCTCCCACAGTGCTGGGATTACAGGCTTGAGCCACTGCACCTGGCCGATGGACTTTCTTATAGTTATTTAACAGTTTAGCACACATCTTTATGAGACAAATATAAGAAACCATGTTTACTCATTTCTGTTTGCAGCATCATTTCACAAAGACCCTGATTCTGACTTGCAGCTCTCCAGAAGGATGCTTTGAAGACAAAACACGACAGAGCCCATGGCCCCCATGCCTCTTGCCCAAGTTACTATATTTCTTGAATGATAAGTGACCCTAATCCTTGCCTTTTTCTGCACATGAAATAATGTCAGCTGGGCGAGGTGGCTCACACCTGTAATCCCAGCAGTTTGGGAGGCCAAGGCGAGCCGATCACCTGAGGTCGGGAGTTGGAGACCAGCCTGACCAATATGGAGAAACCCTGTCTCTACTAAAAATACAAAATTAGCTGGGCATGGTGGCGCATGCCTGTAATCCCAGCTACTCGGGAGGCTGAGGCAGGAGAATGCCTTCATCCCGGGAGGCAGAGGTTGCAGTGAGTTGAGATCACACCATTGCACTCCAAGCCTGGGCAACAAGAGCGAAACTCCGTCTCAAAAAAATAAATAAATAAAAGTAAATAACCTCTAACAAGGTTAGTGATTATGCCTCTGTAATCTATAACCAAATATAGCCAAACCCAACTTCTGATGTGATTCTGCTTCAATGTAACTTCTGAGAAAGTTTGATGTGATTTTGCACAGGCGGAACCTCCACCACGGGTATATAAGCTGTGGCCTGAAACACCATGGCGGGGCAATATGATGGAACTGCTCCTGGGCTATAGGCTTCAGTCAATAGTCCTCAGCAAGATCTCCGAATAAACTAACTTTAAAGCTTCAAAAGCTTGACTTTTTTTTTCCTTTAGTTGACATCTTTCAAATTACATATGAAGAGGTTGCCATAATCCTTTTAGCACTTAGGTCCTAGAAAGATTTTTTGTTTGTTTGTTTTTTGAGACAGGGTCTCCCTTTGTCACCCAGGCTGGAGTGCAGTGGTGCAGTGACACAATCTCAGTTCCCTGCAGCCTCGGCTTGCTGGGCTCAAGCGATGCTCCTGCCTCAGCCCCCCAGTAGCTGGCACTACAGGCAAATGCCACACCTGGCTAATTTTTGTATTTTTAGTAGAGACAGGATTTCACCATGTTGCCCAGGCTGGAGGTACTGGAAAGAGGAAACCTCTGAATCCGGCCCTGGTCTTACACATACTCATTCATTTGATCATGCATTCACTCATTCTGCAAATATGTATTGAGCCCCTACACTTATGCCAGCACTATTCTAGACACTGGGGCTCTCAGGGAGTGAACAGAGCATTTTAACCAAGCCACATCCTCAGAAGCCCAAATCCTAGTGAGAGAGGTGGCCAAGAAACAAACTCATGTGGAAAGGGCAAAGGAGGCTGGGTGCAGTGGCTCATACCTGTAATCCCAGCATTTTGGGAGGCAGAGGTGGGCAGACCACGAGGTCAGGAGTTCGAGACTAGCCTGGTCAACGTTGCGAAACCCCCATCTCTACCAAAAATACAAAAATTAGCCAGGTATGATGGCAGGCACCTGTAATCCCAACTACTCAGGAGCCTGAAGCAGGAGAATCGCTTGAACCTGGGAGGCGGAGATTGCAGTGAGCTGAGATTGTGCCATTACACTCCAGCCTGGGTGACAAGAGCAAGACTCTGTCTCAAAAAAATAAATAAATAAATAAAATAAAGGCAAAGGAGAAAAACAAAGCAGGGATTGGGGCAGAGTGTGGCTCTGGCATGGGGTGGGTGGGGACTAGCTTACAGATTCCATAGACCATAAGCCCCTAGGGCTGGAAACCCCGGAAACCAGAACTGGATACATAACCTGGGTTTCAGAAATGTTAGCTGAATGACTGAGTGATGGTTGGGATGGACGGGTGGAGGCCTGGGGCTCTGTAGGCTTAGCTGCCTGGTGCCCCTCCATCTGGCCCTTCCCTTCCAGGCCTTCACCCCACTTCCATGTCTCCCACGGGAACCTGTAAACTGTCCCCATGCGTGACCTTCTTCACGGTCATCTTCTGTGCCCCATCGTCTTTGATGCAATCTGTGGCCTCCAGGCAGAACAGGCTTCAAAATTTGTCAAGCAAAGTGAAAGGAAGGCTGAGTCCTTTGATCAAAAACTATGAAGAATTTCAAGCTGAGGTGGGAAGATCGCTTGAAACCAGGAGTTTGAGACCAGCCTGGGCAACAAAGCCAGACCTTGTCTCTACCAAAAAAAAAAAAAAAATGACCTGGTGGTGTGCCTGTAATCCCAGCTACTTGAGAGGCTGAAGTAAGAGGATGGCTTGAGCTTCAGCCCAGGAGTTCGAGGCTGCAGTGAGCTATGATCGCACCACTGCACTCCAGCCTGGGTTACAGAGCTCTTGAGACCCTGCCTGCAAATTAAATAAACAAATAAATACATAAAATTTAAAAAATTTTTTAAAAACAAGAAAGGAATTTCAAGCCAGTGACGGCACAGCATGAAACTAACCACGAAGCCCTATTAAGTTCTACCCCCGTGTGACTGTGTGAGTTGCATTTCTCGGAAGCTGGCCCTTCCTCCAGGGCAGGCTGGAAAGACCTTCTAGAGATCTGCACCCAAACAACCTTTCCACCCTGGGCTCACAAACTTCACTGGGCTCTGTGCTCCCTCCACTCAAGACCTCACCCCACTTCCTGCCTCTGAGCATCTGTTCTCGCTGTTCCCTCTGCCCAGCGTGCCTTTCCACTCACCTCTTCTTGTCTTTGTGCACAGCCATGGATCAGGTGCCAGGAGAGGAGATGGAGGCAAAGCAGGCCCAGTCAGCTTTCCAGAGAAGACAGTCGCAGAGGGCGGCGGAGTGCTGGCCCAGCTGCAGCCTTGCCCCACCGCAATGCCCAAGCAGAAGCTTCCTCTGCTGCAAAATGGGGCAGCCATAAGAACCATGGTGCAGGACCTGAGGTGCAACTCTGCTAAGCTCTCTCTCTCTCTCTTTTTTTTTTTTTAAGATGAAATCTTGATCTCTTGCTCTGTCGCTCAGGCTGGAGGGCAGTGGCAAAATCTCGGCTCACTGCAACTCTGCCTTTTGCATTCAAGCGATTTTCCTGCCTCAGCCTCCCACGTAGCTGGATTACAGGTGGGTGCCACCACGTCTGGCTAATTTTTGTTGTTGTTGTTTTGTTTTGTTTTGTTTTTTGAGACGGAGGTTTTGCTCTTGTTGCCCAGGCTGGAGTGCAATGGTGCAATCTTGGCTCACTGCCACCTCTGCCTCCTGGGTTCAAGCGATTCTTCTGCCTCAGCCTCCCAAGTAACTGGGATAACACGTATGCATCACCACGCCCAGCTAATTTTGTATTTTTAGTAGAGACGGGGTTTCTCCATGTTGGTCAGTCTAGTCTCGAACTCCCGACCTCAGGTGATCCACCTGCCTCGGCCTCCCAAAGTGCTGGGATTACAGGCGTGAGCCACCGTGTCCGGCCATTTTTGTATTTTTACTGGAGATGGGGTTTTGCCATTTTAGCTAAGCTGGTCTCGAACTCTTGACCTCAGGTGATCCGCCCGCCTCGGCCTCCCAAAGTGCTGGGATTGCAGATGTGAGCCATTGCGCCTGGCCCTGCTAAGCTCTCTTTTTTTTAAATCTACTGAGATTTGACTCACATACCATAACGTTCACTGTTTTCAAGTGTACAAGTCAGTCGATTTGGGTATATATACAGGGTTGTGCAACCACCACCACAATCTAATTTCCTAAACATTCTCCCCTAAACAAAACACTCAACCCATTAGCAGCCATTCTCCTCACGCTCCCTACCCGGGGCGGCCGCCAGTCCACTTTCTGCCAGATTCACATATGGATTTGCCTATTTTGCACATTTCATAGGAATGGGATCCTACAATATGTGGTCCTTGGTGACTGCCTTTTTTCAGAGTATCATGTCTTCAGGGTTCATCCACGTTGTAGCCTGGGTCAGTGTTTCACCCCTTTGTACAGCTGAATAGTACTCTGTTTCACCGGATAGACCACGTTGGATGCGTCCATTCAGCATATGACAGATGGGCACAGCACTTTGAGGAACCAGCTCCCAGTCTGCCTGTTGGGGGTGGGTGTGGGTGCCCGGACCTCCCACGCTGACCTTGACCTGAGATATAACCCAATGGCTGTCTCCTTTCCCCTCTGGAAAATTCCCACTCAGCCTTCAAGGTCCACTCGGAGGTCACTTGCATCCCCGCATTACCCCATATAGACTGATAATCCCTTCCTCCGCTGTGCTCCCAGTGAGGTTTCTTCCTTGTTTAAGACCCACCCGTCTCTTCCCCCTCGCCGCTCCAGGCTGAAACTGCGGTTGTCCTGTTTCTGGGGTCCTGGGTGTCTCCAAACCCTCAAAACGTTTGTGCACTGGAAAAATGGGGAATTGGCTGCACGATAATTGGCTGCCGGAGAAGCTAATTGTTTCCTTGAAGTCACAGATTTCGGACGGAGGAAAGAAGAACTGGGGTATTTTGGCGGTAGGGACGGGTGGGTAGGAGAAAGTGACCCTCCTGTAAGGCCCAGGGTGGGGGGAGGTGGGGTGGGAGCGGCGCACCGGCAGTGAGAAACGCCAAATGGCCCTGCTCTCTTTGTTCTTCATGCAACATAATTCGATGGCCAGTCCAGGCGCTGCAGCTCCCTTCCCTGCCGGCCCGGGCGCCCACGCAGGACCGCGGAAGGGCTGGGGGTCCAGGGCACAGTCTAGGTCCCGGGCGCCCGCGCAGCCGCGGGTCCTTCCCTCTGGGAAGGAGCTGGTGGAGGCTGGGGAGGGAGCGTGTGCGTGTCCCCCGGGTTCCTCAGCCCCTCTCGGCTCCCATGGAGAGCCCCAGTTCCGTCCCAGGCTCTCCCTCGGCTCCTCTTTTATTTATTTATGTATTATTTTTTTAAGATGGCGTCTCACTCTATCGCCCAGACTGCAGTGCAATTGCAAGATCTGGGCTCACTGCAACCTCCGCCTCCCCGGGTTCAAGCGATTCTCCTGCCTCAGCCTCCTGAGTAGCTGGGATTACAGGCGCGCGCCACCACACCCGGCTAATTTTCGTATTTTTAGTAGGGACGGGGTTTCACCATGTTGTCCCGGCTGGTCTCGAACTCCTGACCTCATGATTCGTCTGCCTCGGCCTCCCAAAGTGCTGGCATCCTCGGCTCCTCTTTTGCAGACGAGGAGGTGCAGGGGCGAGTGGGGAGGGCGTCCTCGGTGAGCGCGCGAATCCCCTCCAGAGTCAGCTGGGTCGGAGGGGCTGGCAGGAGAGGCCCCCCCCCCCCGGGGGCGATGGCTGAAGGTGGAGGTTGGCCCAGGCTGCGCCCGGAGGGAAGAAGTTAGACTGCAGGAGGGACCGGCGGGCAGAGGCGTGAACCCCTCAGTCGCCCCTCCGGAGTGTGAAATCACCCCTTTGCCCGACGCTGGGCTGGGACTGAGGGTGGGAAGAGACGGAGCGCGGATGGCCGCCCGCTGCCCAGTGCGCTTCCCGGAGCTGGCGCAGAGCCCCGAGACCCGGAGGGAGGACCGAGCGCGCTGCGCGAGCACCCCCTGGTCGTCTGCGTGCGCTCAGCACCGAGCACCTCTTCCTGCTCCGGTAGCCTCGGTCCACCCTGCAGCCCAGCCCCCGGTCCAGCCCAGCGCCCCCAGGGACTCCCGGCCCGCCCTGTCCGGGCTGGAGCGAGAGTTCACTCCCCGGACTGACTGCTCCGAGCCCCCTTTATTAGAAGCATTCATTGTGGAAAAACAGGAAACAATGACCCGTAAAACAAAACACTTATTAAAATCGCCTGAGATCTTGTTACCTGATCAGCATATGCTCTGCTTCCTGTTTTTGGTCTGTGCTACTTTCCATATAGTTTTTCAACTCTTTTTGTGCGCGCTAACAAAATGGAGGTCATTTGGTGTATAAGCGTCTCTGCTCGTTATTTATTAACGTTTATATTTATAAAAGTTGTTTTCCTCGAGTAATAAATGCAATCTCTTGAGAAGACACGGAAACTGAACAGCGAAGCCCCCTGGCCCCTCTCCCTCCCTACACCCTTCCACCCCCCCTCTGGAAGTCAGCATGGTTGTGAGTCAGCTGTGTATTCTCCCAGTCTTTTTCGCATTTTATGTACCGTATATATATATCTAGAAATACATAGTTTTATTTTGGGGTCGCTTTAACGTAAAACAGATGGGGTTGTAGTTACAGTTCTAGAAAGGGCTTTCCCCCTACTTAACTGTGAGTTTGGAAATTGCTTGGCCTAGACCTGCCTCCCTATTTTTTTTTTTCTTTCTTTTTTTTTGAGACTGAGTCTCACTCTTGTTGCCCAGGCTGGAGTGCAGTGGCGCCATCTCAGCTCACTGCAACCTCCGCCTCCCAGGTTCAAGCGATTCTCCTGCCTCAGCCTCCCAAGTAGCTGGGATTACAGGCATGCGCCACCACACCCGGCTAATTTTGTATTTTTAGTAGAGATGGGGGTTTCACCATGTTGGTCAGGCTGGTCTTGAACTCCTGACTTCGCGTGATCCGCCCACCTTGACCTCCCAAAGTGTTGGGATTACAGGTGAAAGCCACCACGCCCTGGAATGGACCTGCTTCTTTCTTTTTTTTTTTTTTTTTTGGGGGGGACGGAGTCTTCCTCTGTCACCCAGGCTGGAGTGCAGTGGTTGGATCTCAGCTCACTGCAAGCTCCGCCTCCCGGGTTCACGCCATTCTCCTGGCTCAGCCTCCCGAACTAGGATTACAGGCACCCGCTAGTTTTTTTTTTTTTTTTTTTTTTTTTGAGACGGAGTCTCGCTGTGTCGCCCAGGCTGGAGTGCACTGGCCGGATCTCAGCTCAGTGCAAGCTCCGCCTCCCGGGTTTACGGCATTCTCCTGCCTCAGCCTCCCGAGTAGCTGGGACTACAGGCGCCCGCCACCTCACCCGGCTAGTTTTTTGTGGTTTTTTGGTAGAGACGGGGTTTCACCGCGTTAGTCAGGATGGTCTCGATCTCCTGACCTCGTGATCCGCCCGTCTCGGCCTCCCAAAGTGCTGGGATTACAGGCTTGAGCCACCGCGCCCGGCCCCTCCTTCCTTCTTAGCTGGGTAAGAGATATGCCACTCACAGTTGGAATGCACCTTCGTTTATTTCAAGGATTCTCTGTTGTCTTTAGTTTGTTTCCAGCTTTTCTCCATCCAACCCTTCAGCCCCTGTGTGCACCTGCTTAACTCAGGCCTCTTCTAGGTGTGGGGAGCGCGTGCAGAGAGGAACAAGCAGACACATTCCACCATCACGGGCTTGGGCCTGCAAGGGCAATGAACCGGGACACTGGAGGTGAGTGAGGAGGGGATATTTTATTTTCTGAGAAGAGGATATATTTGGATCATTACTATGGTTCAAATATCAGATCAAAATTAAAAAGTATCTAGAGGCCATGTGAGGTGGCTCACACCTGTAATCCCAGCACTTTGGGATGCCGAGGTGGGCAGATTGCTTGAGCCCAGGAGTTCAACACCAGCCTGGGCAACATGGCAAAACCCCATCTCTGCAACAAAATACAAAAATTAGCTGGGCGTGGTGGCTCTCGCCTGTAGTTCTGTAGTCCTGTAGTTCCAACTACTCAGGAGGATGAGGTGGGAGGATAGCTCGAACTCAGGCAGCAGAGGTTGCAGTAAGGCAAGGTGGCACTATTGTACTCCAGCCTGGGTGACACAGCAAGGCTGTCTCAAAAAGAAAAAAGAAATACAGTATCTAGAGAAAAGTCTTACTACCATCCGTGGCTTATCTGACACATGGTCTCTCGTGTATCCGTCAGAATTTACTCGTGAAAATATAAGCAAAAACGATTACCTGTATGTGTTTGCTTCCTTTCTCATGGTGAAGGGAGCACGCTATCACCAGTGCTCTGTGCTTGCATTTTAGAATCTACTTCTGCGTCTTGGTGTTCATTTCCCTTAAGTAAATAGAGAGCTTCCGGGTTCGTTAACTTTATTTATATATGTTGCCTAAAGGGACACAGTGCTCCATCATACGGATTTATTTTACCACAATGATTTGTTCCCTGTGATACAAGAGTCTTCCCAGTCTTTTGCTCCTATAAACATTGTTGCAATGAATAACTCTGTACAAAGGTCAGGTTTTCACCTGTAGGCTCATGCCTAGGGCGGATTCCCGGAGTTGTGATTGCTGAGTCAAAGCCATGTGTGCAGACAGTGTTGACGTCTTTCACCGAGTTGCCCTCTGTATTAGCGAAGACCTCCAGAGAAACAGATCCAGTAGGATATACGTGTGCACATGCATGCACACAAACACACACATACACAGAGAGAGAGAGAGAGATGGGAGGGTGGGGAGAGAGAGACTGAGATTTATGGTAAGGAATTGAGAAATGACTCCCCAAACTATGCAGGCGGACAGTCCCAAGATCCGCAGTGGGCTGCTGGAAACCCAGGAGAGCAGATGCAGGAAAAGAGCGATGTCCCCCTTCCAAGGCAGTCAGGCAGCAGGAATTCCCTCTTGCTTGGGGGAAGGTCAGCCTTTGTGTTCCATTTAGACCCTCAACTGACTGGATGGAGCCCATCCGAGATAGCAGGGTCCTCTGCTCTCCTCAGTCTGTGGATTTCAATGTTCATCTTATCCAGAAACAGCCTCACAGGCACACCCAGGATCCTGTTTGACCAAATATCTCAGCACCCTGTCACCCCATCAGGCCGACACATCAGAGTAACCATCACGTCTCCCCGTGGGGATTGTCCTGTTCCATGGTCCCCTTGCCCAGGTGTGAGGGTTTGCACAGGCCTTACTAAAGTGCCTACCGAAATGTGGACATTCCTCTGTCTGAGAAGTGAAAAATGGTGTCTTGGGGGCAGTTTGCATGTGCATTATTTTCATTGTAAGTAAACCTGAACCCGGGCGTGGTGGCTCTTGCCTGTAACCCAGCACTTTGGGTGGGTGAGGTGGGAGGTCCTCTTGAGCCCAGGAGTTTGAGACCAGCCTGGGCAACATAGCAAGACCCCATCTCTACAAAAATTAGCTGGGTGTGGTGGTGTGCACTTGTAGTCTCAGCTACCTGGGAGGCTGAGGTAGGAGAATCACCTGAGCCCTGGAGGTTGAGGCTACAGTGAGCCATGACTGTGCCACTATACTCCAGCCTGGGCAACATGGCAAGACCTTGTCTCAAAAAAAAAAAAAGTAAGCTGAGCATCTTTTTTTTTTTTTTTTTAAGATGGAGTCTTGCTCTATTGCCCAGTCTGGAGTGCAGTGGCTTGATCACTGAGCGTATTTTTATAAACGTGGGGGCCATTTGTATTTCTTTTTCAGTATACTGCTCATACACTTTGCCCAGTTTTGTTAGGCTGTTGCTCTTTTTATAGATTGAGCTGAAAAAAATTTATTACCAGTGTATCCTAAAAATAACAGTATTGAAATACAGTTCACCCTCTGAAGTATATTTCAGTGATTTTTGGTATATTCAAATAATGGTGCAACATGATCACAATCAATTTTAGAAAATTTTCCTTACCCAAAAAGAAACCCTGTACCATTAGTAATCACTTCTCATTTCCCCTAACTCTCCCAGCCCCTGGCAACCACTAATGTACTTTCAGTCTCTATCGATTTGCCTATTCTGGACATTTCATACAAATGGAATCGTACAGTATGGGATCTTTTGTGTCTGGTTTCTCTGCGTAATGCTTCCGTCCAGGTTGTGGTATGTGTCGGAACTTCATTCCTTTTCATGGCTGAATAATATTCCACTGTGTGGAGAGACCACATTTCGGGTCTCCTTTCAGCTATGGATGGATGTTTGGGTTGTTTCCACTGTGGTTTTATGAGTAATGATGCTGTACACGTCTGTGCACAAGCTTTTTTGTGGGACATAAGTTTCCAGTTCTCCTGGAATGGAATTGCTGGAACCTGTTTCAGGAATTGCCAGAGTATTTTCCAAAGTGGCTGTACTATTTTACATTCCAGCCAGCAGAAGCAGGGCCACTATGAGGGCCCCACTTCCTCCACATCCTCACCAGCACTTCTCACCTGGAGCTTTGATTATAGCCACACTCGTGGCTGTGAAGGGGGTTTCATTATGCTTTCAAGTTACATTTCCCCAATAACTAACCAATTTGTCTTTTTATTTGCATTATTATTATTATTATTATTATTATTATTATTGTCTGAGATGGAGTCTCACTCTTGTCACCTAGGCTGGAGTGCAGCGGTATAATATCAGCTCATTGCAGCCTCCGCTTCCCAGGTTCAAGCGATTCTCCTGCCTCAGCCTCCCGAGTGGCTGGAACTACTAGCATGCACTACCCCACCTGGCTAATTTTTGTATTTTTAGTAGAGACGGGGTTTTACCATGTTGGCCAGACTGATCTCAAACTCCTGATCTCAAGTGATCCATCCACCTCAGCCTCCCAAAATGCTGAGATTGCGAGCCACTGTTTTTTTTTTCTTTTTTTTTTTTGTGAGATGGAGTCTCACTCTGTTGCCCAGGCTGGAGTGCGGTGGCGCCATCTCGGCTCACTGCAAGCTCCGCCTCCTGGGTTCACGCCATTCTCCTGCCTCAGCCTCCCGAGTAGCTGGGACTACAGGCACCCGCCACTACGCCCGGCTAATTTTTGTATTTTTAGTAGAGACGGGGTTTCACTGTGTTAGCCAGGGTGGTCTCGATCTCCTGACCTCGTGATCCACCCGCCTTGGCCTCCCAAAGTGCAGGGATTACAGGTGTGAGCCACTGTGCCCGGCCCATTTGCTTTCTTCAATGTAGACTTTTCCTGTAATCAAACACTTTATTCTTTTATGGCATCTGAGTTTTGAGTCATAGATAAAATTGTCCCTGCTCTAAGATTCAAAAGAAACTTCCCCATATTCTCTTCTAGGACTGTTATGCTTTCAGGCTTTCCATTGAAAACTTGGATCCGGCCGGGTGCAGTGGCTCATGTCTGTAATCCCAATACTTTGGGAGGCCGAGGTGGGCAGATCAACTGAGGTCGGGAGTTCAAGACCAGCCTGGCCAACATGGAGAAACCCTGTCTCTTAAAAATACAAAATTAGCCGGGCATGGTAGAACATGCCTGTAATCCCAGTTACGCAGGAGGCTGAGGCAGGAGAATCGCTTGAACCCGGTAGGCGGAGGTTGCGGTGAGCCAAGGTCACGCCATTGCACTCCAGCCTGGGCAACAAGAGTGAAACGCTGTCTCAAAAAAAAGAAAAAGAAAAAGAAAAAAAAGAAAACTTGGATCCACGTGGATTTTATTCTGGTGTCTGACGTGAACATGTATCAACTTTCTTCGATTTTCCCGAGGTTGTGCCGTGTGTGTCCCTGGCAACCTGGAGGAAAGGGTTTGGTCGGGCAGAGAGCCCAGTGTGGGGAGGTGACATTTGCGAAGACTGAGGACAGGAGTCACACTCTCCTCCGTGCACAGAGACCACAGACGGACAGGGATGCATGCGGAAAGGTCTCAAGGTGGGAGGAAGCTCGGCTGATTCCCAGAACAGCAAGGCCATTGTGGCTGTAGGTGCTGGGGAAGCAATGAGGACAGGGATGGGTTCCTAGAGAAGCCAGGCCACGTAGGGCCTGGTAGGTAACTGTGGAGTCTGGCTTGGATTTGGGCTCTAAGGATACCAAGGAACTGCAGATAAGATCTTTAGAACTGTTCACTTGATAAGATAATACCCAGACGGGAAACTGGGGTGTCTAAGGGTATGGACAGTTCAAATTTTGCTGCAAATTGACTGGGCATGGTGGCTCACGCCTATAATCCCAGCACTTTGGGAGGCCAAGGTTTGTGGATCACTTGAGGTCAGGAGTTCGAGACCAGCCTGACCAACATGATAAAACCCCATTTCTACTAAAAATACAAAAATTAGCCAGGCATGGTGGCGGGCGCCTGTAATCCCAGCTACTTGGGAGGCTGAGACCGGAGAATCACTTGAACCCGGGTGGTGGAGGTTGCAGTGAGCCAATATTGTAGGACTGTATACTCCAGCCTGGTGACAAAGCAAAACTCCATCTCAAAAAAAAAAAAAAAAAAAAAAATTTTTTAAATTTCGCAATTTTTTCCCAAAAAAACCTATATTATTTTCCCTCACTTTTCACTGTATGTTATTTCTTTATCATTTGCTATTTTATTAAATATTTCTGAAGCATGGTTTTTAATAGCTGCATGGTTTCTCAAAAAACATATTTATTGAGATATAGTTGATATACAGTAAACTATACATAGAGTGTACAGTTTGATAAGTTTTGACATCTGTATATACCCGGGAAACCATGACCACAATCAACATAGTGAACACATCCATCACCCCTAAAAGTTCCTCATACCCCATTGGGGTAGCTCCCTCCTGGCATCCCCTCTGCAGGCAGCAGCCCATCTGCTTTTTGGTAATGATTACCTGGTGCTTCTCATCATATGACTGCCTTGTAATTATTTGAGCATTACTCTACTGTTAGATGTCCATGTTTATCCCATTTTTGCTATTTCAGCTAGGAAGAGACTTCTCATACATACAGATATCTTCATATACTTGATTATTTCCTTACGACAAATTCTATAACTGGTATCTCCAGACCAAAGGTTATGAATGTTAAGAATTTGGAAGCAATCTGCCCAGTCTTGTTCACAAGGCTTGCTAGGTATGACATGCACTTTCCATTTGATTTTCTTTCTGAAAAGTTGAATCATTGTAATGCCAAAAAAAAAATACTAACCCTCCAAGCGTGGCTCAGATGTTTCTGCTTGGACCTAAGGGGTGGCTATTTTTGGAAAGGTCCTTTTGTGCTGTGAAGGAAACAAACATTCCCTCTTCCTTTGGATCCTAAAGTACTTCGTACCTTGGTGGAGTTTGCTGTGGGAGCGCCCAATAGCCTGCCCTCAGCCATGTCCCTTCCTACAGAATTTAGGAGACTTCTGTGACAAGGATAGTTCAACCCCCTTCAACTCCATAGGCTTCTCTGGTGGAGGCAGGGACCTCCAGAGTGACTGACAGCAGTTCCAAGGCAGGGGGAGTGGGAGAACTGGCCTCCCAGTAACCTTACCTGCCAGGGGCCCTCCACTTGCCAGGTGTGGAAACTGAGGCTTAGAGAAGGGTGAGGACTGGCCGAAAATCCCATAGCAGATAAGCAACAGAACTGGAACCAAATCCAGCTCTGCTCCACTCTGATGGCCACAATGTAGAATCTGATTTCTCTAGGATCCATATAGGATGGGCCCTATACTGTAACCTTGTCCACTCCCACTGCTGTTAAACTTGCAGGTGTTCTGTCTTGGATCCACCACAGTCAGCTAACACTGGCCGCTCAGAACAAGCGAACCAGTCAGCAGGACCCAGATCATCCAAACTGGCTGATCCTGAGACGAGACTGAACTGCTACTAAGGACAACAGCCCTGCTCTGGTCACTCTGGAGGCTGACCAGTCTATGCACGGCTGAAGTTTGAGGACTTGTCAAGCAAGTAATGTAGCTAAAAATCTTAAGACTTAGTGGTTTTCCTGTGTGCTGTTTTCCTGTTGTTCTGTCACTGTATTCAATCTTTTTCCCAGGTAAGGACCTCTTTTGTCCTTGCTAGAGATGAATGTGCTGTACATTGTTTTGTTGTTACCCCCCTTAACCATGCTAGAAGAAACACCAAAGAAGGTGTCCCCACTGTACACATACTACTTGGTCAGGGAACAGTATAACTAGAACCCTATGGTACTACACTTATAATGAGTGTACGAGGACTCGCTTAGGAACTTGTATGTATAATCAGACCACCTATTCAATTAGTAACCCAGGAAATGGCCAGGCTTATATATGCTCTGACCCTAAGTCTTTACCTGGGACTTGGTTTGAGATTCATACTGAGTGAAAGGGAGGAAGTTTTATAAGTCAAACCCAAGCCTCTCTTCCCGGGGTGGGGGTGGGGTGCTATAGCCATATACTTTGATATTTGTCAGTTAACATCCATGAACCCAACCTATCACAGTCTCTGGTGCTACACGGTACTGTACAAACTGCCAGTACAAAATGGTATGTGCACCCCCTGTTTGCCCCTCCAAGGCCCTAGCAATAGCTTGCTGGAACTGCACAGCGCAGTTCACTGACCGTTCATCACTGCGGCTAAAACCAGTCTTGCTCATCGAAGGGCCAGCAAAACCGGATTGTAAGACAAGCACTTGCAATCCTGTAAATCTGACTATCTTAGAGCCAGATCTACCTATATAGACTGCAGGTTACTCCAAGGGATTACAAAGCTGCGGTCAAAAAGCTAAAATAACTTTGTATATTCTAAAGAGGACTCAAACCAAGCAGTCAGCCCAGCAGCAATCCGAGTCTTTAAGTCATTCTTTGAGCACATAAACCAAAAGTTACCAGAGCCTCCTCCTTTAGTCAAAAACTGATTTGCTCAGCTGGCCAAAAACATTGCCTGCAGCCTAGGCATTTCCTCATGTTATGTTTGTGGAAGGACTAACAAGGGAGACCAAAGCCTTGGGAAGCAAAATAGTTAATGTCTCAAGATGACTTTACTCTGACTGCCTCTTTCCCCAAACAGACACCCACAGGTTCAAGTGTCTAGCTCTTAAAAACTTCTATTATTAGGAGATACTGTGTTGCTCGCTAGGGAAAACTTTTTACAGATCCAGTAAGAGAACTAACCTGCTCACGACAGCAATATTATAATGAAACATTAAGGAAAACTTTGTGGCAGGGCAGACATGACTACAAAGCACCTCATCCAAATCTGTTTCTCTTCTCTACACCACACTTGGTATCAACTTGAAGCTCCAAATACTTAGGAAGCACCCCCAGTCTTTATTGTAGGCTGCAGGCATATCAACAGTTGCCAGTTAAATGGACAGAGGCCTGTGTGCTTGGAACAGTTAGACCATCTTTCTTCCTACTCCCACTGCAACAGGGAAAAACTTCAAGATATCCTGTCCATGATGAAGTTAGAAGAAGACGCAAAAGAGATACAGACACAAAGAACTATAAAAATAAGAAATTGAAAAGATACAGATTAGCTCCCTGAAAAAATAATTCAATACTATAGGCCAACTACCTGGGTACAAGATAGGTCATAGGGCTACCACACTCCTATTTACACACTTAATCGCACCATCAGATTGCAGGCAGTACTTGAAATCATCACTAATGAAACAACAAATGCATTAGATTTCCTGGCCCAGCAAACCACACAAATGAGAAACGCTACCTATCAGAACAGATTAGCTTTCGACTACCTCCTAGCCCAGGAAGGAGGAGGATGTGGAAAATTCAATCTAATTGTTGACTGGAAATCGATGACAATGGCAAAGCAATTATACAAATAACTGCAAGAATGAGAAAATTAGCCCATGGTCCAGTTCAAATTTTAAAAAGGTGATCCCCAGATTCTCTTTTTGGAGACCGGTTTTCATTTTTTGGAGAGTTCAAGACTTTAATAGGAGTAGTGCTGGCCATACTCGGAAGTTGCATAATACTCCGTTGTCTCTTACCTTTCCTTGTTAGAAGTATTCAATCAACTGTAGAGGCAATAGTAGCCAGGCAAACTGCCACTCAGGTAATAGCTCCGTATAAATATCAATCTTTGCTTAAAGAAGAAAACTCTCTTCAGGCAGAACTGAGTAGTAGTGATGCCTTTTATTAAACTTCTTTCATAAAAGGCATCAAAGGGGAGACACTGAGGCAGAAATTTAAATAATAATAATAATAATAATAAATACTGCATTTATTCACTCCAAGAAAAGTAAAAGCTAAGGCCCAGAATATGGCAAGGCAAAGGATAAAAAGAAAAGAACAAGTTTTCCTCTTGCCTAGCAGCTCGCTTCAATGACAGTTAGAAGATAATGCTGTTCGAATAGCCAAGGCCAAAGGAATGGGCTCCAGACACTTACCTCCCTTCCAGAGCAAAGTTGAAAGATAAAAGAGAAAGACAAGTTCTTTTACTGTTACTCTTTTCCCAGGCTTCTTAAGCATGATTAGCATGATTATGTTTTACAAATATCTGTATTTAGCCAGTTCTTGTTTTTCTTTTAATGCAGGTACAAGGCCACTGGACAGGTCACAAACTATGTGATGCTATAGATTACGTGACCTGTTACTGTATGATGAACTGCTTTTATTTTGCTTCTGTAAGGTTGCTTCTAAAAACCCTGCTCTGTCTTTGTTCAGGGCTCAGCTTTCGGATGTGAATCCTCTGAGCCAGTACGTACCCAAAATAAACAAATCCTCCTGTCCTCCATATTGGTCTCTCCGTTCCTCAGTTTACCACAACAATCATACATTGATTGAAGCTACCCCATGACTGAAGGATGTAAAATCATCTTGAAACCTGAAATACCTACAAATATCTTGGGTGCCATCAGAGAAACCCTCTAGTGGGGATGGCAGTGCCAAGAAGAGTTTCTTAACAACATGGAAATAGTTTGTACAGGATGGTGCCGCCCAGGGAAGACAGGCTACTCATCAGCAGGGTTCAGTTCAGCCCGTCCCTGCATGGCGGCAGTTCCCCCACACCCACTCATTTCGTGGTCCCAAGTGGTGGCCACGTTCAGCCAGTACACACGAGTTCTTCTGATGGGCATCAATGTATTCTACTTGAAGGAACCCACACATTTCCACAGGGCTGCACCCTACGTGACCACCCCTTCAATAAGCCAGGTTTCCACCACCCTCCTGCCTGACCATGTGGCCGCTGCCCAGGAGCCAGTAAAAACCCAAACACAGCGGCTCCCACCACTGTTCAATTATTATTTCATTGTATTTCATTTTATTTTTGAGATAGAGTCTTGCTCTATCACCCAGGCTGGGGTGCAGTGACGAAATCTCGGTTCACTGCAACCTCTGCCTCCTGGGTTCAAGCCATTCTCCTGCCTCAGCCTCCTGAGTAGCTGGGATTACAGGCGCCTGCCACCAAGCCTGCCTAATTTTTGTATGTTTTAGTAAAGATGGGGTTTTACAGCGTCGCCCAGGCTGCCGTCAAACTCCTGACCTTCAGTGATCTACCCACTTTGGCGTCCCAAAGTGCTGGAATTACAGGTGTGAGCCACTGTGCCCGGCCCACCTTTCAATTCTTCCACCACTGCCAGGAAAACACTGTGCAGATCAGCCCACCAGGCGGATTTGTTTCCACCTTCTTTGATCAGGGTGGCATCCCTCCAGACCGGATGTTTCCTATTCACCACTAACCAGGCAGCTCTTTCTTGGCCAGCTGACAGCTGTGGGGCGGGGGGCACTCCCCAGGCGATGATAAAATCCAGCAGCTCAAATGAGAATTTATGAACACAAAGAAGCAAACAATGGACACTGGGGCCTACTTGAGGGTGGAGGGTGGGAGGAGGGAGAGGAGCAGAAAAGATAACTATCGGGTTGATGCAGTTTGGCTGTGTCCCCACCCAAATCTCATCGTGAATTGTAGTTCCCATAATCACCACGTGTTGTGGGAGGGACCCAGTGAGAGGTAATTGAATCATGGGGGCGGGCTACCCCCATGCAGCTGTTCTCATGAGAGTGAGTGAGTTCTTACAAGACCTGATGGTTTTATAAAAGGCTTTTCCCCCGTTTGCTTGGCACTTCTCCTATCTGCTGCCATGTGAAGAAGGACATGCTTGCTTCCCCTTCCACCATGATTGTAAGTTCCCTGAGGCTTCCCCAGCCATGCTGAACTGTGAGTCAATTAAACCTCTTTTTAAAATAAACTACCCAGTCTCCTGGGGCACCGTGGCTCAAGCCTGTAATCGCGGCACTTTGGGAGGCTAAGGCAGGTGGATTACTTGAGGTCAGGAGTTCAAGACCAACCTGGTCAACATGGTGAAATCCCATCTCTACTAAAAATACAAAAAGTAGCCAGGTGTGGTGGCACATGCCCATAATCCCAGCTACTCGGGAGATTGAGGCATGAGACTTACTTGAAACCAGGAGGCAGAGGTTGCAGTGAGCTGAGATCATGTCACTGTACTCCAGCCTGGGTGACAGAGGGAGACTTTGTCTCAAAGTAAATAAATAAATAAATAAATAAATAACCCAGTCTCAGGTATGTCTTTATTAACAGCATGAGATACATGGGTACTGGGCTTAATACTTGGGCGATAAAATAATCTGTACAAAAGGCCGGATGTGGTGGCTCAAGCCCGTAATCCCAGCACTTTGAGAGGCTGAAATGGGACGATCACCTGAGGTCAGGAGTTCGAGACCAGTCTGGCCAACATGGCAAAACCCCATCTCTACTGAAAATACAAAAATTAGCTGGGCGTTGTGACAGGCGCCTGTAATTCCGGCTACTTGGGAGGCTGAGGCAGGAGAATCACTTGAATCCAAGAGGCAGAGATTGCAGCAAACCAAGATCATGCCACTGAACTCTAGCCTGGGGAATAGAACTTTGTCTCAAAAAAATAAAAACAATCTGTACAACCAACCCCTGCAACATGAGTTTATCTATGTAACAAACCTTCACATGTATCCCTGAACCTAAAATAAAAGTTTAAAAAAAAATCCAGCAGCTCCTCACACAGTTCCAGAGTCAGTCCTAGGGGATTCTCCTTGCTTGGGAGTCTCCTCCTTGCCTTCCCCAGGTGGCACCATCCTA